TGCAATTTTTAGTTTATGATTGGAATCTAAAATCAAAGGTTATAGGAAAACTTGAAAAGTAACAATAAACATGACATCTCATGCCATACACATAATAATTAAAGTAACAAAACTGGAAGTCATTTGGTTTAATTTCATGAATAGACCGTTTATTTATTTGGAAGCTACAGAAAGGCATATTACTTAGTCTTCTTTTGTACTTGCTAAGAGGATTTCAGTATTACGCTCTTAGTACTGTGAAACCTTAAAGCTTAAGTATTATAAAGTGATGACATGAGAAGGAAACTAGAAAGCTACTATTCATTTAATAGAAATAAGAAATTAAAGCAATATAAACTGCATTCAATCTTAAAGAATCTAAAGTACCTTTTAAAATGGCACATTTCCCTCATCTGCTTTTTTATTTAATTTTCAAAGAATCTGTTGTGTGAATAATTTGAAAACATTGACTATAAATATCTAGGAGCAGTTTCTTAACCAACGATGTGAGAAACAGCAGACATAGTAGAGCTGGAATCTGAAAGCTGGTTGATTAATAAAACACATTCTGCCATAAAATAAAATTTCACAGAACCAAAGGCTAAATTTATTTATTTTTAAAACTGGAGAATGAACTTATTAAATTGCTGTCATTTTTCTTTGATTTAAGATAATAAATGATAGCCAGCAGAGATATGTTCTGCACCTTCTGTCTCAGCATGCGCAAACACGAGTTGGCTCTACCTGGCCCTGCAGTGGAATAAGCTACGTTCTCAGGACTCACAACCATTTACGTTGAAAGCTGCATCACTAGAACATCTGACATAATTGGGCCGATATGACTAAAGATGCCTATATTTTTCCAAAGTCTTGCATTTGCCAAATCCCATTGACTTCTCTGCATCCTATATTCATGACCTTTAAAAGTGAATTTAAAATATAAATAAATAAATCTAAGAGGGAAAAAAAAGAATTTTAAAGGTCTTTGCTTGATTTTGCCCCCTCTCACCTTCTCTCTGGTGGGAAAAAAAGGAAATTGTCATTCCAAAATACCAATTGCATGGTTGGAGGATCCACCTGTCCAATTCAGATAAGCATCTTTGGAAAAATCACTGAACTATACCAAGTGGAATAAAAATACATTGTGAAAAGCACAAGAGGCATTCTGGGGTAGTTTTTGATCTGAAATCTCTTACTGCTGCCTCCTTCTCAGGTTGCCCTTGCCATTTTTACCTACATGTTTCTGTTCATTGCTACGTGGAAGATAATCTTGCTGCAACCCTAGGTTCACATAAGTTTTAAATGCCTGCTACCAGTCTTGGGCTTTTCTTTGGTTCTACCAGAGAGCTGACTGCAGTTCCAGTATCTTCTATTAATATCAGAAATATGAGTGATGCTGAATAAGTGAGAATGAATCACAGATAGAACACATTTCCTGGTGCAGAAGGATCCTGTTAGAAAAAGCAATAAGAAATGTATGCAGCAGGCTTCCAGTGGGGAAAGGCAAGGTTTCTACTTGTACAAGACAGCTGGATACGAATTTTATATGACCAAGCAGAGGTAAGAATAGATTAGATAGGGCTTAACGCTTTACAAATCACTGAGCTATGCCCAAGAAGTTCACCCAGTGCCCTGAGGAAGCAGAATGCTCATCCTTCCCGATAAACCACAGAAAGCTCCATCTGTGCATTCCCTGTTTTTGACAGACCTTACATCCTAAATGGCATTTTTTAAAGATTTTTTAAAACAGCTGGACATTGGGCCGGCCCGGTGGCGCACTGCTACAGTGCGCTCCCGCCGAGGGTTCGGATCCCACATACAGACCGGCCGCTCACTGGCTGAGCGAGGTGCGGGAGCAACACCGAGGGTTGCGATCCCGTTGCTGGTCCCGGTCCGGTACCGGCACGACACTGAGGATTGTGATCCGTTGCCGGTCACAAAAAAAGAGACAAAAAGGGAAAAAAAAAAAACAGCTGGACATTTTCTCAATTTGGCCCTTTGTAATTTGGCATGCTTAAACTTCCAATTGTGTTTCCACATTCTGTTAAAAAAACAAAAGCATTATTGGATACGGAGGCATAATCTATGCACCGTAATAAACTTGGAACTCGTAGGGCAACTTAGAAAACACCTAACAAGTGTAACAGAAACCCCAAGACAGAAAACTGAAAGCTTGGAAGCTGGAAGATGGGAAAAAACAGGTAAGGAAGGAAAGTAGGTTGTGTAATACCAGTACAAAATCTGGTACTGGACTCTGCCATGTTCAAACTCAAAATTAATTGGGCTTTCACAAATGGTGTCATTAGTGTATCCATTCCCTTGGATTCATGAAATGTACTCAGAGGTACCTGAGTACATGTCTTCCTTGCCTTCCTCTTCTTTGAGACCCCCAAATGAGAAACTATCATGTACTAGTTGAATTCACTGTAAGAAAAAATGTTATTTATACCTATTATCTAAGTGTAATTTAAATTTCTAAATCTCAAAATATTTATGATTCCAGAATAAGAAGATAGAAGTACAAGAAAGAAGAATATATTTAAAGCAGTGGCTTGATTTTATTTTTAACAATTTCGTCCTATTTTCCCAATATGTTAGCAAGAAGTATTACAAAGGGTACATGTGACCAAGTTTCTACAACTTGCTAGTTCCTCTCAGCTTTCTTCAGTTTAAAAGAAAGTTTTTGATTTTCTATAGACTTAAATAAGTCCATAATACTGTCAATCTTTAAAAAAAAATTGAGATAGCATTTTTTGGTTTGAGTTAATTTTTTAAGAAATCTAATTTCTAAAGAATTGTGTGTCTAATAGTAACTACAAACATATAAATATATACACATATAAACAGTATTAATATATTTTTCCTCACTTTGATGTAAATCGTTAGCACTTGCTTTTTCTGATGGTCAACAACCTTTAATTTGTTCACATTGGTATTTTTAAGCATGCTAGCACTGATTTCTTACTCATAAGTTGAACCTCTTGTTATATTCAGAGGGTAGAATCAGGATCTGAAGCAGAATTGATGATTTTCAAGATATCATAGCGCTGCCTTTTCTAGATGCCAGGTCTCTGCCAGTTCCTTTGCTTTGTGAACAAAATGCAAAGGTGACCCACAGAAAAAACATCAGACATCATTGCTAATTGAAGTTTGTGCAATTTACCTAATGTATGCACATTCAGAAGTTCCCATTTTCTGCTAAAAATAAGGAATACTCATGTACTTTGGCCAAAGTTCTATAAAAGCAACTAAGGCAGAACATGTGTGAACATATAAAATTCATCCTGTCAAACATATAAGATACTCTAATGAAGTGCTATGCTAAGTAAAAGGGTAATAGATCTCTGAATTAAAAAATTACCTATTTGCATGGAGGATATTCATAATAAAACTCTTATTGGTTGTATTGTTTACTTTTGACCTAAATGGAAATTTGATTCTAATATTAGCAGTAAGGACTCATGCTTTAATAAAAATTAATTTTTTAAAAGTGTGGGCACCACATGGATTCAATGGAACTCACATCAATTCTGTTCTTTGTGATAGGAAATCATCACTCATTGCACAAAATAGGGTTACTGAAAAAGTTGAAACTAGTTGTATATAGAAACTAACATACAAAGAAAATACTTTTAGTTCTATAAAATTCAGCAAGAACCCAGGTTTTATTAGTTAATAAATGAAAATGCTTTGTAATACCTGAGATACTGTAATACCTGCAAATAATGTTGGGGCTGGACTTCTTTGAGTAGATTGATGCTCTATTTTTAATAACATAGTATAATTTTAAATGTAGTTCTGATGTTTAATCTGAACTTGGATTATAAATTACTCTTTTGAAAAAATATGATTTTATTACACTAACTAGACAGATTATTAGAAATCTTGCAAACTACAGTACGACTTCTCTCTTACATCATGTCTGAATTACCCAAAAGAAGGTTATTAATTATACAATTATCTCAGAAGCAGACAAGATTTTTAATGCATATTTTGGAGAAGTTCCAATAATAGAATTCCTATAATTCTCAAACTTTATCACAAGATTTAAGTTTTCTCTTTCAAATTGGTTTTGGTTATATCAATTACAAATAATCATTCTCTAATGTACTTTTATATTTACAAACTAGTTGAATTACTTGGAAGCAAAAACAAAAAATTAATTATACTTTTAATAAAAGAGAACTGAATAATCTCGAGTTTGTTTTTCAATTTATTTTGGCTCTTTCATTTTTAAATATTTTATGTTCAAAGTGGAGTCATTCAGTTCTAGTAGCATTTTGGGATTTGGTGAGTAGCTGAGCTTTGAAGAGAGATCTCTAACTTTCTTGTACTTCAATCCTAAACCACTGCTTTAATCCAAACATTAGCTCTGTCCGATCTTGGACATCCAAATCCTGCCCCTATGTCTATGTAGAGTGATAGTACAAGTTACCACTCTAGAGGAAAAGTGTCCTAATTTTCGTTTGTGTTTGACATGATGACAACCAGCTACAGAAAAATTTATTATTATTATTTTTTTTTTTTTAGTTGGCCGGTACAGAGACCGAACCCTGGACCTTGGTGTTATCAGCACCACACACTCTAACCAAATAAGCTAACTGGTCAGCCTATAGAAATATTTAAATAGTTGCAGAGACTCTTTCTAAAAAGTAAATGAATAATTACCTTCTTGAAAAACTTTACTTTATTAGAGAATCTAGTCCAAGTGTGGAAAATTTAAAATCACTCTACTTATCAAAACTGGCTAACAATAAGCTTACCAGGAAAAAAACAACAACAATGATCAGTAAATATCTACACTTAACATTCTTAATTCTGGGACAAAGTTTTAAGATCCATGTTGATGTATCTGTAATGTAAATCCCGCTGTTTAATAATAAAAAACATTCTCACATTTAATACATTGCATACTCATATATAAATACAAAAGTTGGGAGACCTGCCTTAGAAACATGTTCTTAATGAATATGTATAATATTGTGAAATAAAATCTGAATAAAAATTTTATTCCAACAACATTTCTCTATTTTAAATCATGTTTATTGTTTAAATTCTTATCACAGTGGATATTAACTTATGCTTAATCATCCAGTCAGTGCGTACTGTCAACTTCAAATTCCAAAAAGGTAAAATCAACTCATTCATACACTCAAGTCCCATTACCATCCCACTATTCATTGCCTGTGTCTTTTTTGCCTTTTAACAACAACATTGTGGTAGGATTGTGAAAAGGTATAACTAATAGGCTTCTATGTATGATAGCATTTCTTCAAGTATTCAGAGAGCAGTACATTGGTCTGCATTGTACATTAGAAAACTACTTGTGACATTATTTCTAAGTATAGGAGAGTGGCTCCTGGTGGGACTGTAATGAGTTGTCATAGTGTATGACAAGGATTTACAGATTCTAGAATGTTCACAACTCTTCAATGTTAGTGAATAACATTAGGTAAATGTATTTTTCTACTCTCAGCTGTCAGACATGGGATTTCAAACTACAAATAAATAAAGCATACACTCAACATGTGTAGTGCAAGTGCTAGGTAAACAGAATGACATGGAACAAACTTATAGTTGCCAACTAGTGAACAGTTCAGCAGGGAGGTCCTGATTTTATGATGTCTGTGACTTGCATCCCTGTTCTCAAATGAATACTGTCACTGCTCCATGTCAGCCACAATGACCATAAAAAGCTGCTGAGATGCTGGCTGAAGGAGTAAGGAGTGCAATAGGAACTCATTTTCACAAACAAGTGGTACAAATTCTCTGTCACTTGTGTGTATCATCTAAAGTCTGATTTGTTAACAAGATCTCAAACCTCTCCAGACAAAGCAGGTACCAATATAGAGAACTTCAAATGTTCCATTTAAAAGAATTAAATGTTGGCACCTAGGTAATATAGATTGTGTGGCCCAGACAATAAAAGGGATGAAGAAGATGTTTTTTAAAGTTAAAACTTTGGAAATGTAACCCCTGAACATCCAAAAGTTACATTATAGAAAACCAAACAGTTACATAAACATTCAAACAACGGCCCTGTTTAAAAATGCTACGTAAGCAAATATATCTTCAGTACTTTGAACAAAAGTCAGAGCTTTGTTGCTTTGTCTTAATTATGCATTTAACATAATGTTACTCATTAAAATGAAATAGAACTATAAAATTCTTCCAGAGGAAAATTATTGGTAGGAGAAAAAAGTAAAATGTGATAACCAATTTATACATTTACTTAATCACGTTTTCCCCCAGATTTGTCCATAGTCTGTAAAAAAAACAAAACACAAAACTAAAACAAACAAAACGTACAAAAAACTGTGCCATTTATCTTTTCACTTTCTTCCTCTGCATCCAGTTTTGAGAGAAAAGTGTTTTTCTCATGCTTTCATGGTGGTGTTCTGAGTTCACACATACTAAATGCTAGAAGAGAAACATGCGGATCCTGACTTTCTACTTCATTCTTGAATGTGTTGTACCTTTAACAGGTATAATAAGCAGCCAGCTAAAAAGCGCTCTTAATTAGGATACACACAAACACACACGCACATGCACATACACATACTTATTAAGAAAAAAGAGACCATTCCTTATCTGGGACACACACATATCAAGATTTTAACACTAAGGTCTGACATGGTCACTTACTCGATTTAAATAATTAAGGCTTCTAAAAGGTTCAGTGCCAAAACTCTGCATCAGTATTTGAATAAAATACATTTTTGCATTTTAGGTTTGTGCTTTTTACAGCCATTTTAATTCCACAGAATTTCATTAGTAAGATCTGATAAGGGCATGTTAGAATTGTTTTCTGAAGTTTTACTTTTAGTAGCTGTTAGACTAAATTATAGCAATAAAAATTTGATGACTGAACAGATTTGTTTCTACCACCTGGGCTGCTGGCTCATTTCACCTTCTTTTCATGTTTAATATGGCCATTTCTTTTGTATTTGCCATTGAGAATTCCATTGTGGTAATGTCCATTAACTGGGCTATGCTTATTTCTAGACCACAGACTTTTGACTTTTCCGTAGATAAATTTTGTCACCCGGGACAAGAGAAAGTAAAACAAGGTAGCACCAAGCAAAAGCACAAAAGCAATATCCAGTAAAAAATACTGACAGAAAGAGATTTGATGGACAGCGGCACGTAGGTGATGAGCTCCGTTGTGACGAAGAATGTAATCTATCCAATAGATAGTCCGATTGACAGGGTGACCAGGTTGATCCTTATGAATTTCCGAAAGCTTCTGGGCCCTTTCACGGTAGCTATGGAGTGGGGCAAAACAGAGAATGGTCATGTATATACAGGAGGCCACCAGAGGTGGGAAGGGGGGTGGTTTGCGAGAAACTGGTAAAGGGCCACAAAAATGATTACATTGTTTAATGCTGAATATACTAATTATTCTGATTTGAGCATCACATATTGCACACAGGTAATGATATTTAATGCTGTACCCCACAGCTACGTACAGTCAATTATGTTTCAATAAAAAAAGATAAAAAATAATAAAAGAAAAATGGGGAAAATAATAAAAACAACTATCCTTTATCAACTACCTAGTATGTTCCAGGCACTGGGTTAAGTGCTTTAAACACATTATCTTATGTTAACCCAATAAAATAAATTTTAAACTAAAGAGGAAAATGAAAATCAGAGAGAATAAATAACTTTATTATGATTACGAAGTTGAGATTCAGATTCAAGTTTTTCTGACTCCAAACCCTATGTTCTTTCCACACTACACCACAAATAGTCTCTCTCTCCATGATTTTTTGATTTTGATTTTTAAAAATTTTTTTGGTAAGTGGCCAGTACAGGGATCCAAACCTTGACCATGGTATTATTAGCACCACACTCTGTCAGGTGAGCTAACCAGCCAGCCCTCTCATATGCTTTTAAATACTATTAATCAATGAGTCTCAAATAGGAAGGAGAGCAAATTTATTAGTTTCGAAAAGAGAGGGATAGAAAAAGAAGCAGAACTTTGTTCCACCACTTTTTTTTAAAGCAATGACATTTAATTTTGTTTTAATTTAAAATAACATTAAATGACAGTGTGAGGATAATACATTTATTAAACAGGTAAAAAGAGGTTGAGAAACACTACTAATTATGAAGTGATATCTGACATTATATGCAGCATATATGTATATGCACGCATGACCCACGTATAAAGAAAACACCTTCTTAAATCGTTAATTAGAAAACCAGTTAGAGTAGATAATCACAAAAAGTGATAAAATGTAACCATTTTATTTTAATTTAAAAATACATAACTGCACATTGGTTTGCCAATCTTTGACAAATGGCCAAAACCCCTTTGAGCATGGATCCTAGATTAAGGTTTGCATTGTTCAGCCAAGAAAATAATTTCTTCCTGAAGAAATTATAAATTATATCATCGAGGATACAGCTTTTGAATTGTGCCTTATGGAGGAACAAAAATTTGGACATGTGCAAAGACTTGATAGGCCACGGGAAGAGTGTAAACTAAATCATAAACCATGAAGGTTGCCTCTGAGCCCACATTAAGGCAGTAAAATGAACTTCAGCTGAATTCAGCATTTTATATGCAAGTTGTATCATTTCATGTGAAATAATTTTTCTTATCTTTGGTTGTTCCTTAGAATATGACAGTTTCTCCATCCATTGTTATTATATCCCTTGGGTATAAACAGAAAAAGCTTACACCTTTAAAATCTTTAATATCACTTGAAATGCAAGATACATTAAACATCATGCCTAGAAATGCAGAATACTGCTGCTTTGTTTTAAAACTACACAAGCCAGCTCTTTACCCTTTGAGGCTCATCAAGAATTTAAAAAGAAAAAATAAAGATTCTGATTCATCATTCACCTGCATAAATAAATCTCAGCATTTTAGTGATACCCAGTGCTAGGGAAGCCCAGGAGCACTGGCTTAGGAATCATGCGGTCCTGGTTTCAAATTTCTGCTCTTAACAGCTGTGTGACTGTAGGCAAAGCTCTCTGAGTTTCAAGTGCCTCATCTCTAACGTGGATAATGAAAACTGTGATATATGGCTATTATGAGTATGAAAATGGAACAAAAGACGTAACATTTGACACATTATAGGGACCCAGTGATTGTTCACAATGCGGTTTCTCCCTCAGGTTGGCAAATCCGAGGGGAATATTATTAAGGGTCATAAAATCACTGGCCAAATGATTGCTATTTTTACTTTCCAAATTATAGACATGCCCAAAGCATTATCACAGGAATCTAAAGGAAATTTTCATAATTGGCTTACTGACAACTTATTGACAATAACTGGCTACTGACAATATACTGTGGTATACATATTACATCTGCTTTTATATTAATTGAAACCTTACCTGGGGTTATTGATAACTGTCACCAGTGCTTCATATAGCTCTCCTTCAGTAACTGTCTTCCATTCTAGCAATATCCCCATGCCTTTTGCCTGTACCCGGGTCATAGTATCATAATGGTCTCCAAAGAGTGGGATTCCCACCACAGGTACACCATGATACATAGTTTCAAAAATACTGTTCAAACCACCATGGCTCAGGAAGGCTTTAATATTTGAATGCCCTAAAAAAGGATAAAAAAGAAAACGACTTAACAACATTATTAGTCTAGAGGAAAGATTTTTCCATAAATTTCTTAAAAACCACCACTACAGTAAACATACATTTGACGTATAGAATTTTTTAAAGCATAATTTTACTGATTCCTGCTCTATACCCATTAAACTGTTTGTCATATACATAATTATCTGATTCATATATATCAATTAGCCATTTTTAGGTATCTGAATTATATAGCCTTTTTAGCAGTATATTACAGATTTCTCTCAAACACAAACATCACCTGACTAGCACCATGTATTTAAATGGCCAATAACTAATAGGAAGCCAATGAAAGCAAGAAATGCCAAACAATACCAGGGTATAATTGCATTCTACTGAAAACAGACACCTACTTTCTGGCTACTCAAGCTTTCATCTATATTAAAGTCAAACACACTTTGTAAAAAAATATGTGAAATGTACGGCTGGATTCCAGGCGTCCATGAAGAGTTTATGTGCTTATCCAAGGAGGAACATTACGTAGTAATCATTATTTACGACATTCAAATTCTATCAGCATCCATGTTTCACAATTGTAAGGTTCAATTTTACATTTTAGGTATACAAACATTTATAAAAATTAGTTGTAAGTACATTTAGTACATTGAGTTGTCATGGAATAAAAGAGTTTATTTGTCAAAATTAATGAGGTATTTCAAAACCCAGATTTGTTCTCCTAGTAAACTGCCTACATTTCATAAAAGGGATTGAAAAATTTTCATAAGAAGGGTAAGAAAAATAATTAGTGAACATAGGAAAAAAATAAATAGTGAACATAGGAAATGCATTATTGGCCAGAAAAAAAAAAATATACCATACAGAAAAACAAATGTTTTAAATATTCACTTGCCAGTTACAAAATTGACTATGTGTATAAACCATGATCTCTTGGGGCTCCCGGAGCTCTCTCCCATCCCGAAGTATAGTGGAATCAGTCAGACAGTGTCTCTAGCCCTTAGCCACAAGTAGCTTCTCAGATAATAAGGCTCAACTAAAGAATCTGCCCTAGAACTGGATTTCAAACCTTCTTTTTATCAGCAGAACCATTCTTTGAATAAAATCAAACCACCAATGGGCCGGCCTGGTGGCGCACTGCTACTGTGCGGCGCTCCCGCCGAGGGTTCGGATCACACATACAGACTGGCCGCTCACTGGCTGAGCGAGGTGTGGGCGCGACACCGAGGGTTGCGATCCCGTTGCCGGTCTCGGTCCAGTACGGGCGCGACACTGAGGGTTGCGATCCGTTGCCGGTCACGAAAAATGACAAAAAGGAAAAAAAAAAAAAAAAACACCAAGCCCAGCAGAGAAAAATAAAGCAGGGCTGGCATGTGGAGAGGAGAGGAGTTGTATGGGAGTAGGGGAGGAGAAAGACACTGATTTGGTTCCAACTTCTTATCCTGGAGGAATCTGATCTGAATTAGAAGCCATTAAAGGAGCTGCAAAGGTCACGCATAGAGTTAAAAAGTATGCTAATTTTGGAAAAGTCAGAGAGCTGAGATTGTGAGGAACCCAGAAGAGCTAGGGACTGGAGGATGGTGTTTGGGCATAGACCACAAAGTGGCTACATCTGGCTGTAGAACCTCACAGTAAAAAAAATAATAATAATAAGAGATGATAAAAGTTTAGATGTTCCTAGACACAGCGTCATGCTGTTACACTGAGATAGCTTATAGTCAAGTTATCTTATTTAAGTTTCCTGTTTCTTTCCTACCATCTATAGACTCTGAAGTCATAGTAAAGACATAAAAGGAATACAAGGGAAAAATACAAGTATCAATAAACATTAATTGCCTTGTGCTCTTTATTTCTCACTTTTATCTTTTGTACAATAATATTTATAATGAACTAGATGGAAAAGAATACATAAATAAGATGCTTTACTGTTTTTTAGTTACAAGATTCAGTTGGCTGTTTAGAAGGATCATTGTAGTTTCTAGAAAATACATTTTAAAAGTCTATTTTTAAAATTATAATTTAACATTAAAGCCATTTTTACAAAAGTTAGGTGTTGGTATTATTGAATAAATGGTGATCAGTATTGCCAAAATCAATAACCTTTTATTAATTTCCTTACTAAATATTATATTAAAGGATAATATGGTATTATGTTTTCCTAGAAATTTACTAAATAAAAATTTATATTTTTACTATCTGTGCTTATTGTACATGGAGTTAAATTATTTACATTCAAATATACTTAAAAGATACATATATAATAATTGGTATTTTAATTTCGAGTTCAGGATTAGATTCCCCCAAATTAACACATAAAAAGAAATAAAGTGCTTCAAAAATGCCTGGTGATTTAGGGGGAAATCAAGGCAGATAACCTCATTAATGTTAAAATAAATGGACTGCTTCCCTGGCCTTCTGCTTCTCTTTGATTCCAGACAAATGAATAACTTTGAATTTCTCCTGTATTCTCAGACATATCTATAATAAAACTATAAAACAAATTTACATTTTCTTTGTTTTAATTTTATTACTTTTACCCAATTAGTCTAATCAGATAGTCAGTGCTAACTTATACAGCTTATTAAATATATTTTCCAGGTAACTATAATTGGTGACTAGTCTAAAATTTTTAATTTATAGGCCAAAATGATTGTATTTTAGAAATTGCTTTCAAATAAATAAAGAATAGGAATGTTGTCCTGAAATTTAAGACTTGAGCTACTAGATAAAAACATAATGACACTCTTGTAAACTACATACGTATTATATGAACCACTCACATATAAAAATCACATTTACACAGTAAAAATCGAAGTCAGGTAAATACCTACATGTCACTGACTTACCAAGCAGGTCATTTTGTGGCAACCACTCTATGAGCTTAGTGTTGTTTCCTAGATTCTTTGGTTTGGTTCCAGAAAACCTAAAATGTACACCAGACAATAAATCTTTCAAAAATCAGACCTTATTTATGATATAGGCTCTCTGGTTAAATTATTAGATTTAAAATGAATGTTACATGATCTTTGGTTGATATTTTTAAGAATAAAACCATGCTTTAGTAACAACAAAAATTTGATTGTTTCTTTTTAATCAAATAAACATTAATTGAGGGATAAATAAGAAATAATTTGTTTATATAGAGATCTATTTTCCATCAGCTCCTCCCATCTACACCCAGAGATGGGGGGAAAAGCAATCAAATAAACTTACACTAGAAGTTATTCCCCGTCAATACCCAGAAGCTGAAACATGAAGGGCCAGGGAGGGCCACCAGAGGGCCGTCAATAGACCTAATCCTTCACCCCCAGAGCCTATGGGATGACAGGAATTGAAAGAAAACAGAAAGTACTCTTCTCTAGCTTGGCCCTAGATATACCAGTTCTGAGAGAAAAGGACAGTCTATGCCCTGCCTGACCTTCATAAACCAACCTTAAAGGTGCTTAATAACTAAGAGAATGACAAAGGAGCCTGAATTGAACAGACACAAACTGTCCTAAATAAAGCAGAAGGGGTACTTTCTGGGTTAAGCCCAATAACAGAGGAAACTCAATGGGACTAGACTCTGAAAACAAAAATCCTAAACATTTAGTATAAAATATGTAACCATTTTATAGCTCATCCAGGAGAAGTGGAAGCTAAACTCTACATAGTTGTTACAAAGGGAAAACCCGCAGCTTGAGACACACTTTCTTCTAATTATGGTAGAAACTATGGGGCCGATGTCATTCACTATTGTATCCCTAGAGTTCAACAGATGTGGCAGGTACTAAATAAATGCATGCTGAGTAAAGTGTTGAGGTCCAATTCCTAAACATTGCACTGGAAATTCCAGAAGCAGACACCTGTTGGCAGTGCCTCCCAAAGGAGGGTGGGGTCACTCTATGAGTCTGTTTTAACCGGTATTAACTGGTAAATTACTGTTTTAAAAGACCTGGTCTCTTGGATAAAAGAAATCAAAAGCATTTGTAAAGCTGACAAAACGGAAGCCAAAAAGAGTCCATAAAATATTTTACCTATTTATTCATTCATCCATCATTCTCTATCTCATACCAAAACTGATTTGAAGGAGTATATAGAAAGGCATGCAATTAGAACTAAATTTTTAAAAATGATAATAAATAATAGAACAGTAAATGAAGGTAGATATCTGAGGGAAACATAAAAATGCATCCAACACAAGAATAAATCATTCCAAACCATATCTTCTTTCTACACTATAGGCCAGAGGTCTCTTCATCATCACAGTCTTATGAATTAATTCCTAGATTTCAATACGCTAAGAAACAAAATGTAAAGTCAGACATCCTGCTACTCTTGCCAAGGAATTGATGTGCTGTGCTTCACAGGGACCTGTGGACTAAACAAGGGAATACTGAAAATCCACAATAAAGAAACAATCTGTATTATTACGTTACCTCCAAATCACTTTTTGAGGCAATCTCCCCAGAGCTCCTGCCAATTTATTAGCGATGTCTTCTGACAGATACTTGACAGCAGCTCCAAAAGATACCAGGACAAAGCCATGTTCATTAGCACCATTTACCCACCTTTGGAGATCCTGTAAATCAAAACAGGGCAGTTAATTTTATGTGTACAATACAGTTCATAATCAGTGTCATCAATAGCTCAGTTTATAAAAAGACTTTAAGTAGATTTCTTAATTAGAAAGTAAAGAGGATATGATATTTTCCTCTAAGCAAATGCTTTTGTTTAAAATATTTCATCCTACATCACTAACTAATAAGGAGGGCATATGATATATTTGATGAGATTAATAAGTAACAACCACACACACACACACACACACACACACACACACGCCAGTAGTATAATGGCCTAAGATCTCAGAGGTCAAAAAACTGAACTGATGTTGGATACAGAGACAGAGATAAATTTGTATGAGAACACAAACAAAACACGTGGATTGAACATATGAAAAACCAATCATGTTGGTAAAAATTTGTTAATTCATCTTTGACAAATTTTTGCCACAACTTAACAGTAAAAAAACAACCCAATTTAAAACTGGTCAAAGGAGCTGAATAGGCATTTCTCAAAGGAAGATACACAAATGGTCAACAGACACATGAAAAAATGCTCAATGTCACTCAGCATCAGAGAAATGAGAATCAAAACCACATAGATAACATCTCACCCCACTTAAACTGGCTATTATCAAAACGACAGAGAGTAACAAACGCTGCTGAGGATGCAGAGAAAGGGGAACTCTCCTACACTGTTGATGGGACTGTAAATTGGTGCAGCCATTATGGAAAACAGTATGGAGCTTCCTCAAACAATTACAGATAGAACTGCCATATGATCCAGCAATTCCACTTCTGGGTATACATCCAAAGGAATGGAAATCATCATGTTGAAGGGATACCTGCACTCCCATGTTTATCACAGCTCTATTTACAATAGCCAAGAGTCGGACCCATCCTAAATGTCCATCGTTGGATGACTGGATAAGGAAAATGTGGCATGTGTACACAATAGAATACTACTCAACCATAAAAAAGAATGAAATTCTGCCATTTGCAGTAACATTGATGAACTTAGAGAAAATCATATTAAGTGAAATAAGGCAGGCACAGAAAGAGAAATACCACATGTCTTCAATCATAAGTAGGAGCTAAAAACTAAACAGACGGACAGATGGAAGGAAGGAAGGAACAACAATCACAATAATATGTTGAACTTTCAAAAAGAGGGAAAAGAACTGAGTTTACCAGAGGTGGGAAAGGGGGAGGGAAAGGAAGGGGAAGGGAGGAATTGACAAAGGGCCATGAAGGACCATTACATTGTATAATGTTGAATATACTAATTATCCTGATTTAAGCATCACATATTGCACACAAGTAATGATATTCAACTCTGTACCCTACAGATATGTAAAATCAACTATGTTAAAATTAAATAAAAAATTGTCAGTGATTGACTTGTATTAAAAATTAAAGCAGTTCCTTTAAAGCACCACCCTTGCTTTATTTTATTCTACAGGCACAAACTTGTTTTTAATGGTAAGTTATCCCTTTGAATAAATCTTTGCCAAAGACACCGAGCTTCAGTTTCCCATATGAAAACTAATAAAGCCATGGCACTTTGAGGAATACGTAATTCCACCATAAGGACAACAACCCTGTTGTCCACTGACAACACCTATGCCACAATGCAGTCATGAAAACAGGGGCCAGACCCACTCTGTATTCATAATGACAGTGTGAGCTGTCATAGTCGTATCTCACAGAGCTCAGGACAAATGGGTAACCGCCATGGCTATGCCACCATGGTTTTGCATCACACAACACTTTCTAGCAGAACCTGATTTGCAGCTGAGAAGCACTGAGAAGTACACAATAGGAAGTGTCACCACAATGGCATCAATGCACTACTTAATTAAGTATTTAAATGGAAAGTTAGGCCTACATTTTCTTTCTTCTTGTCCCTTTTCTAGTCTTCTTATCACTTAAGATTTATATTAACTGGTTCTATTGTACTAATTCTTACCAGGAAACAGGGAGACCACATTCTATGCCCCAAATGAATTAGTGAATAGTGTCTCTACATGACCGAGAGTGACGATGGTACATCCTTCTAGCTATTGAGTGAGTAAAATAGACTACAATTATTTGGTAGAGAAGAAAACCTTACCAAAACATGTTATTTTCCAGAAAACTATTTGTTTATAAATATATAAAAGAAAAAAGGCTATATCAACCTTGGACTAAAGCTTTTAACTTACATTCTTGTACATTTACCAAGAATATCACAAGTGCTGAAAAATTTAATGGTGTTATATGTGGATTCAAAATAAGAAATAAGAGCAAACTGATTTAAAATTTTTAATTTTATGTATGGTCCTAAGCCAGATGTACTTAAAACAAATATAAGTGATTTGAACACATGGTGTTTTATGCCTGTGGTTTGTCTTAAAATAATTTATCACTTACTACCCAATTCTCTAAAGATGAAATTTTCACGGTCATTGCTATTTACAAAAAGTTTACATTCTGATATACTAGTCCTTATGGTAATAACATTACCTAAATTTTGTTTCATAAGGACTTAAAAAGTCTTTGAGTTTCTACTGACTATGCAATAAACACTTCAGTTGTTTGTTCTTTGTTCCCGCATGATATAAAATGAAGTCCATAGGCCTATTTTTCCAGCTTTTTCCTACCCTAGTCATTAATCATAATAAGAATATATTTAAGTATATATAACCTATACTGATATGTATGGAAGCAGAAAAGTTGAACACATCATGGTTTCCTTCAGGAAAAGTACTTAGTGTTTTCAGAGGACAATACTCCATTTGGCTTAGATGGGAAAGCCAGGACCCAACGTGACATCCAAACTGCTGTCTCCTGAGCTGGACGTAGAAGAGACAAGGTGAAAGGCTAGAATAGAGATAGGAAACCCATGGTCAGCTGGCCTGAATGTAAACCATCCCCCCATGATCTTTCACCTTCAGCCTAAATTTATAAAACCTTTGGTGTGATGGATATTTATGGGAACACTGAAGGGTTTGGGTTTTGGATCTGGTTGGCAAAGGTGACTGACATTCAGGAGGCATGAACAGATGCAAGAGCCAGAGGCTGAAGGGATTGTAAATTTTCTGAACTCATGGCAACGACTCTGGAAATGAACTTCATGGAAAGTATGCCTATATCTCCAATGGGCTGTGAGGCCCTAGGTGCTCTCTCTCCTATATATTCATATACAGTGTTTTCTGGAATTTAAGACCCCATCAATTATAAAAAGTAAATTGATTTAATAACTGCTCTTTCAAAAAAAAACTTTATAATAAATGTGTTCAACATAAAAAAAAACTCAGTACTAGAAATTAACACTTAAGAATACAGATACTTGAGAATCCTACTGCCCCCACGCAAATACCAAATTTAAAAATTGGACTATAGAAGTTCAATTACAATATCAACAAAATCCATAAATATCTAAGAATAAACCTAACACAAATGTACAAAATATGCATGAAGAACACATGAAACCTTTACTAAAGGACTGAAAAAGGAAGCCTGAATAAATGGAGAGATGTAACACGTGCCTGAAGGGAAATACTGGTGTTATGAACATGCAAATTTTTTATAAAATTACATTTAATTCATCTCAGCCTACATTCCATGAGTATATTATGGAACTTAAAAGCTGAGTCCAAAATTCATCTAGAAAAAAAAATCTACAAGAAAGTCCAAGAAAATTTTGAAAAAGCATAGTCAGAGTCTAGAGTCACTGCAATGGAAAGTCTTCAGTGTTAGCAGAAGTGTTAGTAGAGCAGAGACAAACTGCTGTGCAGAAGGGAATTTTCATCAGCGGGGAAAAGAGTCATCCAGCTACCAAATTGGGAAAAAATATGAGGTTCTATCCCTCCTCTATCATACATCACAGAAGAATTAAAAAGTTAAATCAAATTAAAATATATTAAGTTCTTGAAGAAAACACAAAAGAATACTTTTATTGCATTTGGGTGGGCAAGGTCTTCCTAAGAAAGTCTCAGACTCCAGAAGTCATAAAGAAAAGACGAACAGATCTGACTATAGAACAAATAAACTTCCAGAGTATGAAACACATTTTTAAAAGCCACAGAACAATAAATAGACTGGCAGAAATATTTATAGCACATATAACAAAGGATTAATACTAAGACAAAATAATGAGTGGGAAAAAAAACCCACCAACAACGAGAAGACACCCAATTCACAGAAGGAAACTAAACGACATAAACATAGAGAGATGCTTCATCTCACATGACTAATCAGAAAAAACACAAATTCAAGCTATTTGCATAAAGTTTATACAGTACTATATTAGATGATGTCAATATACTACCATTTAACTCTTTATCTTTAGTATCAACCTTTTAAGTATTATTGTTTCTCAGTTTTCTTTCAACTTTTTTTGTTTGCTAGAAGGATAAAACATCTTTTCATAATACAATGTCTTTTCTTAGCAAGCCTTTCCCATTTCAAGATTATCTTTTAAATGCTCCATTTTAGCAATTTTATAGAATCATTGCTTTAATGTTTCAACCTTTCATTCATCCGATATTTACTTGGAAGAAAAGAATAAGGCTGGAATCCATCTTTATTTTTAACCAAATCGTTAGTCAGTCTTCTCATCACCATTTATTGAATATTTTATCCTGTCCTCAGTGATCTGAAATGACACCCTTTCTGTCAATTTCTGAATTCTATTCTGTTCCACTGAGCTATCTATCCATTCTTGTGCTGTGACAAAGAGTTTTATTTTCTGTTATTTTATAATATATTTTAATAACTGCAGTGTGAGATTTCTCTCATTACTTTTCATTTTAGGGACTCTACTAGTTATTCTTGTATTTAATACAATTTGTTAAAGACTTTTCTTTTTTAACTTATCAACTACCATTTACTAGAAGTACCACTTCTTATGTTTGTTATGAATATTTGTGCATATATTTACAGAATTAACATCCTAATTCACTCAACATATGAATTTAGAATTGCATCCAGTCCTTTGTATTTAGTTGGCTAGCGCTGCATGCATACTGCTCCA